ATATTTTCCTGGAGTTTTTGCTGCGCTCTGCACAAACAGAAGTGTTTGTGATTATCACTCTGCCTGACAAGTAGGCCATGCCTGAAGCTGCTGAGAAAGAGAGTGGAGAGTGCAGAAGATATGCACCAGTAACCCCATTTGGATTTTATTTAATCCAAAACCTAAAATTTAATCCAAAACCCTACAAAAATTGATCTAATTGCTCTAATTTGTTACCATTTATATGAAATGTGCAATGTTCACTCCATTTTTCCTGTCAAATATGGTCCTTGTTCCTCAATACAGTAATTTTTAGTTCCTTATTCCTCATTGCATTGTCCAGTCTAATATTGGTGGCAAATCAGTAGGTTCTCATCCAACAATGTGGCATCAGCATACAGATAGGCACACATTCATGGCTCCAAGCAATTTACCTCTAATGTTACCCCAAAAATTCTTTATGCTGAATTCTCAAGACGTGGGTGGAGATGCCCTGGAGGGTCACAAGTAACTGAAGCAGCAGGAGGGATGTCTTGTTTCATATGCTTAACAAAACACAATCAGGCTTGAACAAAGTAGGTGTCATGGAATTTTTGCCAAAGACAGGAGCACAATGCTGAGAAGAACCATGTTTATTGCAATGATAATTGGGTGCCTGCTTTCAAGAAAGAGGGACCCTGAACAATAGAAAAGCATAGAATTTCTACACTTTTGAGGTTGAGAGGCAGGAAATCTGAGGGTATCTGATTCGAAGATAGGTTTGGATAGGTGTTAAATGGGGGAGAAATGATTTTTCTATTGTGAGATAAGAACCATGGCAAACCCTTAAGCAGACAGGTGATGGCCCTATCCTCCTTAACCTAGGATAAAAGGGCTATTTTTGGCAGCAGAACATGGTCACTCTTGGGTCATGCAATAGCTTGGGGCTGATCCTGTTTTGCATGAGCAAAGAATGGCAGAAGGAAGTGGAGGAAAGAGATTGCAGGAGAGGAAAGGGGGACGGGGCAGAAAGAGAGGAAAGGGGGAGGGGGAGACTTTCCAGCTTTATTATTTTTCCCTCACAGTGGGAGCACTATCAAAGCCCACTATGAGTTTTCCTCATTTTGCCACACAGTTGGGCAGTTGCATCTCAAAGTTTGAGAATCCTGTGATAATATAGTTTATTAGAAATATGTGATAATATTAAATCATTAAATTCATGTTGCACAAATTGACCAAGTAGGCTTCCATTGTTTCCCTTTCTTTATACTTGGGAAATGTGTGCTTTTGTACGGGGATGCTGGGTGCAAGTGAACCCTGTAGTGATGCAGTGTCCTTCTCTATCTGTACCTCAAATGCTATTCTGTCTCTTCCATGGCCAACCTCAGAAGTAGTGCTTTTCAGGTCCCCCTAATTCCAGCTTTCACAGATCAATTTATGTACTCTGCATCTCACTTCCCAGCCTCCCAGGTGATTGCTGCTGAACCTTGTTGACACTTTTCATTGGGAATCAATGTTTGACTTCTATGTCCTCCTCTGGAGGATTGGCATTTTCTGTAAGGATAGCATACACTTTTGTTTACGTATCAAGATAGAGATAAAGAGGGTAAAATGAACAAAAAACTGGCTGTGATCCTATTTCCCCCTTTCATCTTACTTGAGAATAAGAGAAGAAAAGAGAACTCTAATGATGGATTTTACAGTGATGTATATTTAATTCAATTGTCCCAGGCAAGAAAAAGACATCTGTACTCTTCTTCATTCAGGCCTTTTGTGTCCAAACTGTATTCTCCACAGCACTGTGCTCTGTCCCGTGGCCGCTGCTGCCATGTAATGGCTCCCTTGCAAGCACACACATGGATGGGAACATGACTCCACAAGGAGTAATTTGATTCTCTACCTACAACCTCCCCCCCTTTTTCGTATACTGCCATGTTTTTTTCTTGAGAGAAAATCCCTCTTTCCCCTTTTTCTCAGGAGAAAGAAAATGGAAAACTTCAACTTTTTCTTTTCTGGAGCCAGGATATCTGACAGATTAATTCCCTATCAGAATGAGAGAAGTGGTTCAAGGACAAAATGCAATATTAGGCATATTAAGAAACTGTAGAGGTTGAAAGAAAATGGAAAAGAAAAATGAGTATTGATTAACTAATTTGAAGATATTTATCTCAGCCAACTGCATTCTAGACCAAGGAAACACACTTAAGGGCAGGAGAAACTGTACACAGGATAACAAAGCCCATTGGAGACAGACCATTTTCCAAAAAAACAATTAAAATTTGAATTAATGTCTAACTTCCATTAGTTCTTAGGTTCTCTTATGTTTATGGTATATCTATATGTACGGGTAATCAACTTACGAGCATTTGTTTAGCGACCATTTGAAATTATGAAGGTGATGAAAAAATGGACTTACAACCTGTGGCTGAAGTTACAGCCATTGCAGCACCCCCCCCCCCCCCCCCCT